AAAAATACAACTCCAAGGCTATAAACATCACTCTTATCTGTCAGCTTACGTGTCAAGAAATATTCAGGATCAAGGTAACCCTGCACATAAAATCACGTTAGACATTCATGGCGGTGTCCAAAATTTGTAGGGTCTAATATAAGACCCGAGAATCCAAATTCTCTTTCCTGGTATTTGAGTCAATAGTCAACCTATCCTGCTGTCTCTTACTAATCCTACTAATGCTAGTAGACATTTATCGTTAAAACTTCTAAGGGCAATAGGAAAAAAATTTCAATTATCTGTTCTTGGTGATGACAGGCTTATCTGGTTTAGCAGATCATTCTTTATAAAACTGTGCTGGAATATAGTTATACAATCCTTTCATCTCTTTCTTCTTTCCTCCACCCCACCAAGCCCCAACAGAAGAGAAGAAGAACAAATATGATCTCCTGCTTAACTTGTGGAGTTGTTCTCACTCTCTCCTTTTCTTCTTCCCAACCCAGTGGTTATACTTAATACGCTGTTTTCTAATAACGGAACACTAACAGTTGAATTTTAACCCAGCTACAAGATATTAGTTGGAAATGTGGTGTATGTACAATTATTGAGTGCTGAACATCAGAATTAACTCTAGAGGAAATTATTTGCAATATCCGCTCACTTGTGAGAAAACCTAGTGATGTCGAATTAAGGTCCAGTTATGCAATATTTAACTCCATCCCTAGTAATGGACCTATTATGGAACAGTATAAGTCATGTGATTAGCCAGATAAACATACTTATGATGGCAGATGTTGGTATACCAGCTCCACTTCCCACACACAAAATACACGAATGCAGCATATATATAATATAGAGAGAGAGAGAGAGAGAAGACTCAGACTTACAGGTGTTCCCTTGACAAATGTTGAAACATATTCTGGCAAAGCCCCTTCATCATCCACTACCGGTGCAAGTCGTGAAAGTCCAAAATCAGCAACTTTAGCTGTGAGCTTAGAGTCAAGAAGAATGTTGCTGGCTTTAACATCTCTGTGGAATATGGGCGGATTAGCTTCAGTATGAAGGTAAAGGATTCCCTTAGCTGCACCTAATGCAATATGTAATCTAGCTCCAAAATTTAGCGTTTTCCCAGTTTTTGCTGTCACATGAAAGAATTGAGCCACTAAGGAATTACTGGATGACATGACAAATAGATTCAAATGAGAAAGCTCAAATGTGAGAAAAACATAAACTCAACTCAATACCAGAAAGCCAGTCCTGCAATGTTCCATTTGGCATGAACTCATAAACAAGCATCTGTAAGCCAAAAAAAAAAAAAGAGAACAAAATGATATTTGCTATAACAAATCCTCAAAAAACCCAAGCAGTGAGAAGAATGATTTACCATCTGTTTTTCCACATAGAATCCTCCCTTTGCCCATCAGTAAGAAAACAAAAACTCAAGTGCATGCTTGCGTGTGCGTGCAGAGAGAGAGAGAGAGAGAGAGAGAGAGAGAGAAGGATATCACATAATTTGTGCACCCAAGGGAAAGAATTATCCTAGGCCTTAAAATGTCCTATCAGGAACAATATAAAAATAAATGAAACACTAGCAAATGATTTCAAGAACCTTTCCTTCACCAATCCTATTTACCTGCTCCCCTTCTTCATCACAGTACCCAAGCAGTGAAACAAGATTCCGGTGATGCAACCTCGATAACAATTCAATCTCTGTTAAGAATTCCTTCTGACCCTGTAATGATCCTTCTTTTGCACGCTTGACGGCTACAATAGTATTATCCGCTAAAGTACCTCTATGAACTGTCCCATAACCTCCTTGGCCAACTTGAGTTGAGCTACTGAAATGGTTTGTTGCCAGTGCCAGTTCTTCAAAGGTGAAGCTTTTAACGTCTTCTATTTTTATAGAAAGCTTAGAGGCTGAAATTCAAGAAAAATAGAAATAGTTTTCATAAATTTTTTGAGAGAGATTTACATTCAATGGGAAGAAGAACATCGAATATGAGAACTAACATAAACGTCTCCTTGATGGTGCAAGCTGGTATCTTTTGTGTCTTTTAGTGACAAAAACTGTAATAGTTGCTGAGATGCTAACTGCAACGACAACTGCAGCAAGCACAATTGCAACCAAAATACCCTTGCTCATGCTATTACCGCTGGTTTCAGAATTCACTGCAGCAAAAGAAGTTAAGACTACATCAATTGTTACGATCAACTTCCTGCTATTAAGATATCAAATGTAGGTGCAATATAAGGTCCAATTGCAACGCACACCAGTGAAACTTCAACTACAGTCAAAAGTTTAACAATTATGTGAAAAATATCAAAATGAAAATGTAGTGTAGCATTTGGTGAAAGGTGAATTTCAGTTGTGTTACACCTTTTTTGTGAAAGGTGGATTTCAGCTGTGATACATGTTTGCAGCACAGCTGAATGTTAACACAAAGTCACTTAGTATTGCAGAGACGTTTTAGCTTTTTGTATTTTATGGTAATTAACATTGGATGCCTACAAGAAGTGGTGCTGCAAGTCACGAACATAGCATTTCATATGGTACATGATCCTCTGCTATATCATATTTCCTCTTGCCTAATGTGCATTTCAATGCCAGCTTATGCACCACCATCCACCACCAATACATTTTTAATAGCAGTTTAGTGCAGATCCTGGGAAACAAGTTTTGCCTACAATTTCTATGTCATTTGCCTCGAAAACTATCTGTAGCTTAGAAATGAAAAAAGAAACTTATACAGCGCTAATAATAGGACTAAATCTGAAGCCGAAACAACCTTCAAGAGCATGAAGGTGTAGTAATTAATTGGCAAACCAATGAATATCACCAGCTAAAACTAATTGCTTTGCCAATTACACTTCCAGCATTTAGCTTTATGATGTAGGACAAAATGGGTTAGATCTTGCCTTATTAGCACTAGCGGAAGAATGAGAAATCATGGTTTGTTTAGGGGTGACCGGTACCTGTGAACAGTAAATTGGGAAGAAAAGAGAGGAAGAAGAAAGGAAGCAATTAATCAGCTAAACTCAAATTTTATTTCATCAATTCCCTGTCCATAATAACGTAGGAACACATAAGTATTTATAATTAAAACTTCCTAAAACCTCTCCTGAAACTTCTCCTCTCTAAACTCCTTCAGAAAATTTAATTTGTCTTAGAACTATAATACTTGTAGGAAGTTACCTTATAACAAAACACTCCAATTACTTACCGAGTATAATAAACCTAACATAATAAAGACTCAAATTCTAGAATACTCCTAAAAAACAGAAAATAGTAAAATAACAAATGCAGATAATTGACTATGACTATCATAGACTCCAAGAATCAGACCAAAATTTCTGCTTGTTTGCCAAGGACCCTCTAGTTTTATTCTTAGGCTTCCAAAGACGCAGATATGTGTCTAACCAGCTTATGCCTGCGTCATCACTTTACATATAGGAATTGAAAGTCACAAAGCTGTCTTTCAATTTGATTCATATCCATGTGATATCTTACATAACCGTATGCGGTCAGGTTCCATATAAGTTCAAATATGCTAGACATATTACACGTGATATGAGCTTTTAGATTAGCTAGAAGCACACATTGGCATGAACGCTTACCATATGAATAATGTCCCAGAAGAGTGAAGTTGAGAAGTTCATAAGGTCCAAAAAAATCATTTCCATGAAATTTCCAAGATGTGAATATGTCCCTGATTCGAAGAATCTCACTTGTGTTAAAATAACCTGAGCGATCAGCACTAGCCACGGGAAAGCTTCAAGTACATTGTCAGACGAGGTCCTTTTTCCCAGGAATAGGAGTTAATTGACACTTGATAAAGGTTGAGACTGAGAGAACTTGTCAGGTATGACTCAAATGCATACTCATATGGACGGAAGTAACAGAAGCTAGGACTCTTTAGCCGATATCCAATTCTCAGAGGAGATGCACAAAAGCATGGGACAGGTGATTCCGGAACATATTCAAAGTAATTGTCTATAGGACATGCTTGAATAGGACAATGCTTGTTTGAATTAGTTGAATTACTGGGAACATCATTTATGTCAGCTCCAGGTCCGCAAAAGGGCTGATGTTCTTTATATTTGCATTTCTGCAGACAGGATTACCTTGCAGTCTGAACAAGAGCTGATAAATGATAAGTGTAGAGAAGAAGAAAAAGAAAAACAGCTAAGACCAAGAAAAGATGATAAGATCCCAAGTTAGTTAAAGTAATTGACATCTTTCTTGCAAGCTAATGGTTCTAAAAAAAGTTTTACGCTAGCAAACCAGGATTAAAAGGTTTAGGGTTACAGTTTAAGAGATGACCAGATGATAGGAAATAGAGTGTGTGAAGGAAGACAATTTACTAATATCTCCCAAACAATTATAATGTAGAGAAGCAGTCCTTAACAAGAGAAAGGCCATTTCTATTTTGTTTTCAGATATCTCTTTACCAATCAATCCGCACCAGTGGCTAAT